GACCCCAGCCGGGGTGTCCTGACACGAGCCGTGGCCTCTAGTCGGCGAACCGTGCAGTGATTTTGCAGTCGCAGCTGCGGGAATAAATGGGGCCACGACTTCGCTCCTACAGACCCTCTGGAATCAAAACAGTCGTAATCTTTCGTGAGATGCACGTTTTACCGGCGGCTTTTATTCTGCATACGCCTTTTATTTCGGTGCACGGAATAGGAGCGAAGGGAGAAACACTTTTGTTTCTCACTTGCTATATGGTTCACAGAAAGAAATCATCTCTTAGGTTCTTGTAAAATTGTCCTACTCCCTCGCGTATATCTGGGGACGTTGCTGGTAATGTCATCGCTTTGGGAAGAATGAAATGAGAGGTTTTATTAGGTTGTCCTTATTCACAGGATTCCATTGTTTTGGAATTTCAAAATTTTAAAGTTGAATGTTCCAAAATTCCAATATCATTGTTTCAACATCTAAGCAGCAAAGTCCAGACACCATATTGTTTGATTGATCACAGCGCCATCTGTAAATAAAATAATCTTAATTGACTGTTGGAGGTCGTACTTCAGAAACATAATTTTCGGCAACAGATGTGCTTTTGGCAATTTCGCAATAAAAAGATAGGAACGTAAGAGCTGTACAAACATCGTTTCGGTAAACACGCCGAAGATTAAAGTTTCTAAAACGCAAAACAATCAGCGGTCGAGGAGGGTCAAAAATCCTGTTCACGCGAGGCGCTTCCACGAAGGGCGTAGATAAGATACAGTCGGAACGGGACTTCTGTATGACGGCCACCTGGAATCCGTTGCACTCTGCTATTTTTACCGTGCCATTTATTTTCTTAAAGATTTAGGGCCGTGGTTAAGTTTATCTCCGACATAAACACGCTCCACGATAATTCCCTTCGAAAATAACCGATAAGAGTACTTCGGATGGTGGCTGACGTTTGCTCAGCCTTTTTCGGATGCATTCGTGCGTAATGTGTTTCAGATAGCGCAGAATGCCCATTCAAATTCAGGATGCGTCTGACAGCGGAGAATTTATTGTGCGATTTAAATCTGCACGATCTTTTTCTTCATCGGGATAACAGATGGTTTCCTCTGCCATTTTGTACGCAGTAATCTAGTATAAGATTCTTTTATTATCGGAGAACAATCGAGATGTTAGAAAAACTAACAGATTTTTAATGGTACTTACAGGTAATCCTCCAGAATCACGATCGTAGTTTAATTTTTGCTAAATTACTCTCCAGTTGTCTGGGTACACATATTCCCTCACAAAACACACAGACACCTTTGTTTATACAATGTTCTTCCTTTTTTGTATCTACCGTTCCCTCGGGTGTGCATTTTTAAAAGTATTCTACGTACATTCTAACCGAAATCTCGACGCGTCCTCCCTCTCCCGGCAAAAAGTTCAAATAAGTTGCAAGGACCCTCGGCAGATGTTCTCATCTAGGTAGAAATTGTTGAAACGTAACAGAGGTAGCATTTCGTTAGGAATAGCAGTGGTGTTTCTGGAGGAAATTGCTGGCATTCTACTGTAAATATTTGAACTCCTGCCGTTTATTTATCTTTGGATAAAAGAAGTAATCCGCCGTAATGCATCGCCAATGCTCGTGGGGCACGATTCCCGCGAAAATGGAATTTAGAGGTTAGGATATGTACGAAATTTTTAAACTTGACATTTCTGAATTTAAAAATTCGAAAATCATGTCTTCCCACTTATTCTATTTTTCTAAATTTTCATAAGTTTTTCTTCTGCGTTCATGATTTGTAGAATTTCATAAATGTACAAAACAATTTCATAATACAGCCGTCACTGGCCGGTGTTGTGCACATGCACGAGTAGCCCGAGAGTGTACTCGGTGGTGTTTTCACGGAAATGGATCAAGCGTTCCAATGAATTTTCACGAGGCGAGGGTTAGCGGATTAACGCTTTCTGCGCTCGGAGTTGCGCAGAGGATGTCTGACGCAAAACTGGGTTGTACTACTTCGCTCGGGTCTGGCTGCAGCCGCAAGACTGGCTAAGGTGCAACTTGCATAATACATGGATGAACAGAAGCGGGCTTGTAACCTGGCTAACAGCGGAAGTTTCTCTTGTTAAAAGAATGATAAACTTTCCTGATACAAAAGAGTATGATTTTGTTCTCACCCTCCAGGAGATAAATTAATTTGTTGAGGTTAGATGATTCCTTTTACCCATTCTTGACGGTCAAATGATTTTCATTATACTTTATCATTTATAGATCTGAAATAATGATGCAAGGATTTAAAAAGAAACGGACGTTACATTGAACATAATGGGGTCCTTTGATTTTACTGTTTTGAATTTTAAGACTCAAATTTAAAAGAGTGATTTTATGAGAGATGCAGCAGCAGAGCCATCTACAGAGCAATCTCGAAAACAGATACAAATGATGCATTGGAAGCATCAAATAAGGTAGATTCGCAAGGTAGGGGGTCACTTTATTGGCGCCATAAACGCGCAACGTAAACACCGGTATGATTAAACTATTGATGTACACGCCTTTTAGAACCGTGATACCTTCTCCTAAGGGAATCGGTAAATGAAAGCGGCCGATGGAATCTCCTGTCGAATGACGTTTGCAATTAATCGGGTTACTAGGGTCGTTGAGCCCACCCGCTGCCCTTAATTCAAACCTTCTATTGGATCATTGGAATCTGTTTGCTGCGTCTGATTTGTTCGATAATTAAATCTAGTGCCACTGCGAAATGAATGTTTTCCAAAATAATTCTCCTCGGTTATTCGTTGTAACGAATAACCGAAACAACTTTCATTTTCATTATATTTATATGAAATTTGATATGTCTGTACTTATGAGTTTACAGTATTTACATATTTATAAGTTGATATACTGTGATTATTTATAAATTTGTAAACTGTAGAAGTATGTTTAAGTTCTTACTACATGTGCCTTTGAAGAATTCTAAATGAAAGAAGGCCATATAGCGAGACTCTGTGAAACTTCAAACAACTATGTGAAGAGTAGAAGGAACCTTGAAAGAGTATTTTCTGAAGTTTGTACGTCTAAGAAAAGTTTCAAGAATGAATTCTGCTCCGTAGGAATACGTGAATCGATACCATGGACAGAAGATGGGATCCCTGGAGCCGCACGTGTTCGCCCTGGCGGAAGCGGCATACAGGTCCCTCCAGGACACCGAAAGCAATCAGTCTTGCGTTATATCAGGAGAAAGTGGTGCGGGCAAGACCGAAACCACCAAGTTCATCCTGCAGTACCTTTGCTCGGTGACCAGCAACGTCGACACGTGGGTTGAACAACAAATTCTGGAGGCGAACACCATTCTCGAAGCTTTCGGTAATTACCCACTTCCTCCGCTAATAAGCAATTTAACCGGTTAATTATATTTTCCTCCAGTTTGCTCGTACACCGAATTTTCACCCAGAAATTTTACCCCTTAATAGCTTTACTGCACCGATACACGAAGCACGTGCCTGTTTTGCCTGTCTGAAGTTTCGTGTAAATTCGTTTGGGAATTACGAGCCTCTGTTCGATGCAAATTCCAGTAAAAACGAGAGAGAAGGAGAGAGAGTTGGCGCAGGGCTTTGGAAGAGGGAATTATGTTCCACGATTTTCTTGCTTGGTGCACAGCAATTCATTAGAGGTTGATTAATTTGGGTCGTCAAAGATATATTTAACGTACAAAAAAATGTGATTGGATCTGCATCACAACAGGGATACACGAAACTTTTTACTATTAGGTTGAAACACCGAATGTAAAGAACAGAGTCAACATGAATTAACAGAGATAACACGAGTTAAATATCAACTCGTTAGTCGTGATTGCTGATTACTTTTTAAAAAGCAATTAAAGCTCTGTCGAAACAAAGTGAAATCTGTCCCGTCGAGTTTCATTCAGATATCGAATATTTTTGTTTTTTCGCGCGACAATTTTAGACGCCTCTCATAAAATACATTTCCGTAAGCGTAACCGCTGGGCCGTGTTAAAAGCGACGCTCACAGAAACAGGCGGGGTCGTGAGCGGAAGATTTTTATGAAACGGGTCGATGGACGTTATTCCTAATGGCATTTAAAAATAAAGGGGATTCATTACTCGGAGTCAAGAGGCCGCGAACGAGTCAGGTGTTAAATGGAGGGAGCGAGGGGTAGAAACTGGGTCACGAGAGACGAAAAGATTTAAGGGGTATCATAAAAATTGTACCGTTTGCTTTTGTCCCTCGACAAAGCGGCACGAAACCTCTAGCTGCGTTGTGAAAATATTTTCTCTTGTATTCGCGATACAGAGCTCTAAAAGCCTCGAAAAGTTCATTCACAGTGAATTAACAAATCATTCGTATTAATCGTATCAAACAAATTACTTCATAAAAATGTAAACACGAACTTTTCTATATATTTGTTCTTTTTGTGTAAAATAATAAAGTTTTGTTTCTTTAAAACAAAACAGGTAACGCGAAGACGGTGAGAAACGACAACAGTTCCCGGTTCGGCAAGTTCATGCAGGTGTGCTTCGACAGCAAGTGGATGATCAAAGGGTGCATCATTCAGGACTACTTGCTGGAACAGAGCCGTATCACCTTCCAAAGTGCAGGGGAGAGAAACTACCACGTGTTCTATCAGCTGGTCGAGGCCGGCACGAGGGACAAAGAATTCGCCGAGCAGTATAAATTGAAGCCAGCCAGTCACTACAAGTATCTCAATCAGTCTGGATGCGTCAAGATCGATGGGATCTCTAATTCCAAGAAGTTGGACGCTCTTAGGCTTGCGTTTAACGTGCTTCAAGTAATTACAATGCACGATTAATCTTCGTACCACCCCTTAACATTAATAAATACCAATTTATGAATCAACCACGTTCGCATGTATTTTCAGTGGTGAATAACAGTTTCATTTTTGCAGGTTGCGCCAGAAATGTGCGAGGGTATTTTCAGAGTGCTGTCTGCTATTCTTTGGCTGGGCAATTTAAACTTCGAAGACGTGGATGGCGAGAGATGCGAGCTAAGTAAAGAGGACCTTGACATCGTCGGTACAGTGGCTCCTTTGCTCGGCCTGCAGGTCGAAGATCTGACGAAAGTGGTGTTGATACGACAGATAAACGTTCGCGGTAACATCACGGAGATACCTTTGAAGGTACAGGAAGCCAGAGAAAATAGGCACGCGATGGCAAAAGCACTGTACTCGAGAACGTTCGCCTGGTTAATCAACCACATAAACAACTGCACGAATCCTGGCCAGGACAGCTCGAGGTTCCTCGGTGTGCTCGATATATTTGGCTTCGAGAACTTTGCGGTGAACAGCTTCGAGCAACTGTGTATCAATTACACGAATGAGAAGCTGCACAAGTTTTTCAATCACTACGTATTCGCTTTGGAACAGGAGCTTGTAAGTTGCTGGCTAGCCACTCGAGCACGTGTATATATTTAGTCGGCTGTGTAACGTACTTAACCCCCGATTGCTAGGGTGAAATGTCTATTACGCAATCGGTGGGGTGGAACTAAATTGACCTCGATGAAACAGGTGGATAATTGCGTTTGAATATTGTCTACAGTGTTCGTTGACACGCTGGAAATATATCGAGGACTAATTCTGTTTTATTGGAAAATGTATTTTGAACGGGTGTATAGTATAGAAGAGAAGCGGGCAAATGACCCGTAAATGGATATATTTATAAATGACGGGGTACTAAAAGATAATTAGTTTTTAAATTTTAAAGTGGGCACTTTTCTGTATAACTACTGTCCCGTTTAATAGCATACTGCCTTATTACTTTGCTCAATTTAGACTTCACCCTGCGATCGATGGTTAAATATAAGAATAGCCTAATTCCGTACACCATAAAGCAACATTCGCCCCAGTGCAACGAATTATCGTAACACGCGCAATGCGTTTTAAATTTCAGTACCGACAGGAAGAGATCCAATACTCCCATATCACCTTCACGGACAACACCATGTGCCTGGAACTAATCGAGAAACCTCCACGATGTGTTCTTAAATTACTGACCGAGCAGTGCCATATGCCGAAAGGCTCCGACCTAGCTTACCTGACCAATTTGCACGCGGAATTCGAGAACCACCCGTGCTACGTGAAGGGTGACGATCGCCGTAAATGGGAGAAGGAATTCGGAGTCAAGCATTACGCTGGCTGTGTCACTTACACCGTCGAGGGTTTCGTGGACAAAAATCGTGATGTCCAGCAAGACGTGTTCTTCGATTTTATGTCTAGAAGTACGAACGAGTTCGTGCAGGAGATCACGGTTTATCAAGATCTTTTGGGTTGCACGGTGGCTCGTGCGAGCGGAAATGCGACGACGATGTCGCGCGGAACATCCAAAGGCAAGCCGACACTCTGTGATTCCTTCAGACACCAACTGCAAGCTTTGGTAGACGTTCTCCAAGCCACAACCCCTTGGTACGCGAGGTGTATCAAGCCCAACATGCAGAAGGTGGCGAATCATTACGACGAGAAGTTGGTTCTTGATCAGTTGAAGTATCTGGGCATGTTGGACATCATTCGAATAAGAAAGGAAGGCTTTCCTATACACATGTCCTTCCACGACTTTATTGCGAGATATCGGTGCTTGGATAAGGCGCGTTTGTCTTGCGTTGCCGATGAGAAAGAAGCTGTCAGGAGCTTGATTGGTAGTCAAGGAATACCCGAGACTGAGTGGCAGATCGGAAAGACTAAAGTTTTTCTGAGAAGCTACGTGCACGAGCCCCTCGAAGACTCGAGAAATCAGATGGTCACCAGTAATGCTATAATGATTCAGAAGATATGGAGAGGCTACGTTGATCGAAAAGGTATGTTATTTAGTAATGAATTAACCTTACTGTCTCTTCTTCAATAATATTTCTGTGTTTCTTTAGAGTACAAACGCATAAGAGACGCTGCACTGAAAGTACAACATGCTTATCGAGGCTGGAAGCTGAGGATAATGTTTATTAGAAAACGAAGAGCAGCCATTGTCATTCAGAGCCATCTACGCGGCGTGTTTGCGAGAGAAGTTGCAGCGGCACTCAGAGAGATGAGGCGTGTAGATGAAGAAATGAGAAAGAGAGAGAGGCTGGAGGAAGAAAGGAGGCTGATGGAGGACAAGAGAGCTCTGGAGGAAAGTCAAAGGTAAAATGAAGTGGTTGTTTGCGACTGTAATACTAACCGTCCATTTTGGTACGCAAATCTGTCGTGTCGTCCGCGTGTGATTATTGTTTGTGCGTTAATTGTATTTCCATTTGTGTCCTTTGTAGCGCACAGTACAATGGTATTGTCGGAATGGAAGCCGGGTAAGTTCGTCGGTAGTGTGAATGACGAATTGAAATCCCTTAAACAGCCGCATGATCAGCTTAGAGCAAGTAACTGCTTTTAACTTAGATGCAGATATTAATATATGATCACGCGCAAATACGAGAGCACATCATTGGCATAACTGCCCAAAAATCTTAGTTACGCCAATGCACCCGACTAATCCGTGCACTTAAAAACTAAAGCATCCGCTATTGCAATTAAACTCTACAACATTTTCACACATTTCATTCCATTTTACAGGAAGGCACAAGAAGAAATCGCCGCGTTGTCGCAAATGGCTGAGCAGATGAACTCGAAGATGGCTGCTTCAGATTTACAATCCGTAGATCTGGATAATCTATTCTCATTTCTCTCAGACGTGCAATCGACAAAGGGTAATCAAATCATCGAGGAAATTGGTGAACAAATGGACGAACTGGTAGAAGACCTCGATGTAGAACTGGAGACTGTGATTCAACAAGAAATGGAGATGAACGCAAAATCAGAATCCAAAGCTAACACTCCAAATGGGCAAGAAGCTACTTCGCCTTCGCAACAACAGCCACAGCAAAGGATACCCTGCACCAATTCTGGCAAACTTGGCCAGCCGAGTCTTCCAGAACCTACGGAACCTCCGCCACCCCCGCCACCAGTGCCATCTTTAGCGTTAAACGGAGATTCTTCCACCGACAACGGAGAACCAATTTACGAGTCTGTTTTACCACGCGACGAGAACAGTCCCAGCAGTCCAATTGTCGTAAACGGAAATTCTGTGCCACTAGTCAACGGTGAATCTTGCGGATCTCCTCCTCCAGTACCGAGCAGCAAAGTTATCAAAGAACCGATCGCTGGTAGTCCTCCTTCTAGGCCAGAATCTCGGAATTCCAATAGTCATCATTTGCACAATCATCAACCGGTGCCTCAGCAGCAACAGAATGGCCATGATCAACAGCAGCAGCAGCAACAACAGTCGCAGCAATCTCAACAACCCCCGGTCGAACGGGAACAAAGACGTAAATGTAGGGTGGAACGTAAACTTCAAGAACTTGAAGACAAGAAGGAGCCTGATAACGAAGTTACCTACCATGACATCGTGGAATTTGCACAGAACTATTTCAACAGTCACGAAAGGTCTCCCGAGGGAACTATAATGGCTACGCTTACCAGAAAATCGCGTGGCAAGAGCGTGGAATATATCCCGAAATACGAGATGGTTACATACTACAAAGGATCCACTATACCGAACTCTCACATTCACATGTACGACCCTGATAATGTCAATGTGGCTTGTTCAGTGTTTAGGGTAAGCGTTTTAACCTTTTGTATTATGAGGATTATAACATAATAGTAATTGTTTATACCTCTGCATCTTTACTTCATGTGTTTTTTCAGGATCTGTGTAAGTACATTAGGGGAGAAATGAAATTGGACCAAGAGATCGCAACGATTCAGAGCATAATCGGTTACGGTATCGAGCGAGAAGAACTGAGAGACGAAATTTTCGTTCAGTGCATGCGTCAAGCGACTAATAATCCCAACGCTGAATGGGCAGAACGCGTCTGGCTGTTGCTTTGTCTGGCTATCGTTGCTTTCCAACCGAGCAAACTATTGTACAAGTACTTTGTATCTTTTCTGCGAAAGAATTTGGCTCTGGAAGGAAAATTAAGGCAATACGTTCAGTGGTGTGTAGACAATTGTAAGAATACGAAAGTCTCGTGCAGACAACACCCGCCGTCAACGGTAGAAATCGCTGCTATGAGACGGTTGGGTACCATAGTGTGTCGATTCTTCTTCCTGGATGGAAGAACGAAGGCAATCGACGTGCACCCGACTGATACTGCGGCTGATGCAGTTGCTAAATTAGGTGAAAAATTGGGTCTCCGTTCCTTGGAGGGTTGGGCAATTTACCAAAGTAGGCCAGATGGTGAAGAACATGTGCGGGCTCATGATTACCTGTACGATGTTATAGCTGCTTGGGAAATGTAAGTATATTCATGGATCTTATTGGAAACTTGTATTATTAATTTGTTGTTTGTTCTTCAAGGAAACAATGTAAGTTGAATACGGCACAGTCAACCTTCTCAACGTTGAGACGTGGAAATAATGCTACTTTAGGAAGCGGTGATAATCGATTCGTATTTAAACGAAGGTTATTCAGAAACACTAGAGAAATATCTCAAGATCCTGTGGAAGTGAATATGCTGTATGCTCAAGCTGTGTATAATGTCGTTAAGGTAAGAGAATACAAGCATGCAATGATCGTCTAATTATTCTTACACTGTATTTAACTTCACACACATTTTAATTCTCTGTTTCAGTGCGATGACTTCCCAGTATCTGAAAAGGTTGCGCTCCAGTTGGCAGGCTTGCAAGCCCAGGTGGCCCTGGGCGATCCAAAAGACAACGATAGACTTGATTATTACAGCGAAGTGGACAGTTTTTTGCCTTATCGAATAAGCCGTGCTCGCGGCGACGACGTTTGGGTGCCAATAATAGCCCAGGCTCACAGACAGTATGGCGCCGGTCGCAAAGAACTAGCTGCCAAGGTGTTGTATTTATCTTGCGTTATGCAATACCCACTCTACGGTACCACGATGTTCAATGTCACTTATCGAGGCTATTGGTCCTACGGTAATCAACTAATCTTGGGTATCAATTGCGATGGATTGATGTTGATTAAACCGGACGATAAGTTCGTCTTATCAGAGTATCGTTACCAAGACGTGGAGAGCATTATGCTGGATCCAAGTGATTCCTTTATCACGCTGTCTCTTCTTCGACACAATCCTGACAGCTCACACAAGTGCTTCGTGTTCGAGACGACGCAGAAGAACGAGATAGGTAGTCTGATCGTGAGCTACTGTCCAGCGTTGGCTGGTTGGATCACGGAGAACGAGGTTCCTACTAAAAAGCTCAAATGTATCACAAACGAAGATCGCATTAGGCTCTATCATAACCTAGTTAATTGTCGAAGAACGCTCGTCGACGCGGAAATACTGAGGAAGCCACAAGACTCCGGCGGTGGTTTCCTCAGAAACACACTTAGGAGACTGTCGAAACACAGGATAGAGAAACTGAGACAGGAACACGGTAGCGCCACGGATCACGGCGAAACTTACAAGGGATTCCCCTACGCGTATTGGGCCTTCAGCAGACAGGCGATACCTCAAAGTCTGTCGAAACTGCCTGACCCAGACGAGCAGATAGCCCTCAGCGTTTTCCAACTGATTCTGACATACGCTGGTCTGGGTCAAAACGGTGATACGGTTCGCAGAGTCGAGGACGAACACGTGAACCTGATACAAACCGTGATGGAACGCTGTATAAGAAAAGAGAATTTGCTAGGCGAATTATACCTGCAGTTGATCAAACAAACCACGGATCATCCTGATCCGAACAGCCGTGTGAATCTCAGGCATTGGGCGTTACTTTCTTTGGCTTGTTCCGTAATTCTACCGCCGCAGAAAGTTATTCGTAAATACTTGATCGCGCATCTGAAACGTTGCGCTAGCGATTACGTGACCGAAGAGGGGAAGTATGCCCGATTCGCTGAAAAGTGCCTTTACAAAACACAGGGCACGAGAAGAAGACAATGGCCACCGAGCAGAGAAGAGATAATGTGCACGATTAATCGCAGGCCTATTTACGCGAGATTCCATTTCATGGACGGACAGTATCACGCCGTTGAGTTCCATCCATCGGCTACAGCTAGGGATGTCATGGAAATTATTAAAGTTAAAATCGGTCTCGAAGAAACTGCCATGGGTAATCAAAATTACTATTCTCTCAATGAACACAGTTGTGTTAGTATCGGTAATACTATTATTTTATAATATTATGGTTTATAGGTTATGCTATCTACGAAGTATTAGGACCAACGGAACGAGCTCTGATACCAGAAGAGAAAATCGCTGACGTAATGTCGAAATGGGAGCGTTACAGGACAGCTAACGCACAACAAAACCAATCGCAAAGAAAGCACGCACATCACTTTTTCTTATTTAAGAAACATTTGTTCCTCGATCAGTACATGAATCTCGAAGACCCAGTTGAGAAAGAGTTACTGTATCATCAAGTATTGCACGATTTACGTGCTGATCGTTTTCCGATCACCGAAAAAGAAGCTGTAAGTCTTAACCTTCTAAATTTCACCACAGATCTATGACAGATTATATCATAAAAAACTGTAATACTGTATTATCAAATAATACATTTGCAGATGATGCTGACGGCATTGCAAGCTCAGTTAGAACTCGGTGATTGCCAAGACACAGTGACGGACCACGATTACCGCACTATATCGAATCACTGCCTACCTACAAGACTGGTCCCGAATTTATGTATAGAAGGTGTTCTCCAACACCATCAGTCTGTACGAGGAATGACACCGCCAGAAGCGAAGAAGGCTTTCTTGAATTTAATTCAATCGTGGCCACTGCATAGAGCCACGATATTCGACGTGATGCAGTCGTTCACCTCGAACTGGCCACGCGTTCTGTGGCTGGCCGTCGATCAGCAAGGTCTTCATCTTCTGGAGCATCGTTCCAGAAACACTCTCTGTACCTATGAATATAGCAGTATTCTCAGTTATAGTCCAGCTGTTAGTTGTTTGATGATTATCACTGGTACTGATAAGAAGCAGAGTAAAGTCATTCTTACAACATCTCAGGTAATTGCTTCATCGGAGAACTTTTAATATTCTGTGGAAGAAAGTTGATATACTTAATGCTATACATTTCACTAAACACTTGATGCTGTACATTTCACTAAACACTTGATGCTATACATTTTACTGAATACTTAATATATATTTCAGGCACACCAAATAGCGAATTTAATTCGCGAGTACATGGATGTTCTTCAGTCACCACCAGAAGTACCAAAGAGAGACTCCGCGATAGCTCAACAAATAGCGCAACAACAGATTCAACCGCCCACGAATCTCCAAACAGCTGCCGGTGGTCGTAAATCTCGACCTGCTTCGGTGTTACACAGAGGTGCTCCAGTGATACAATCGCAAGCTAGTTAAAAGATTAGGTAACTTATTAGGTATATTTCTCCCCAACCTGATACGTGATTTCTTCTTGTATGTAACTTCCTTCTCCCCTGCATTAAACGTACACTTGCCTTTGTCTTAAATATACCTTAACTTTTTGTATTTTTATAATATTTATTTACTCGTTTAATAGTAGCGAAATAAGTTGTATGTTTCATACTTGATACGGTGTTAGTCGTCTAGTTAGCGTTTTTTTAAATCGTTCAGTATCAGGTTGCGGTGAAAAAATGTATCCAGTTATTAATGCTTTAGCGGCAGGGCCTATCAGCGACAACCGTCGCGAGGCATTAGCCTAATTTCTTTCTTCCAGTATTTATTCGATTAGCTTAGGGCTCGAGAGACGTCGAAAGAAATAGCTACCGCCGCGGAGAGAAAGTGTATATTATCGTACGGACCGACAAATAACTGCCATTACAATTTTAATGCTGGAAAGTTGTGGAAAACTTCGATTTCCATTTTGTCCGTCATTGTTGTTGCCTTTTTTACGAGCGATCATCAGTGTGTTTTATACAATTTTTGCAGGATATACAATAGTAATTGTAACACGCAATAATCGTTGAATCATTCAGTGAATATCGTTATAGTACGCTCGCTTGCAATTTAATCGTCTCTTAGTTCAAGCTTTCAATTTTACAATACAATTTTTAATATTTACAATTTTTAAAAGCTTCAAATCTTTAAACTCTGAAATTTTCAAATTATAAAATCTCTGTATTCTCAAATTTTGACAAACTTTTAAATGTTCCATAATTATGCGATAAATATTTCTGTCAGCTGAAGGAAGCTTAAGCGGCACGCGAGCGTACGTTCTCTGCATATCATTTTGTATCGTTCGACGAGACGTTATCACAATTCATTTTATATATTAAAAACGACCAATTTATTGATTTTACTTACCTTGTTAACGACTCTGTTCAACGATGACGATAATGTAAAGTTGCTATATTAGAATCGACGTTGACCTTGTGCAAAATTCGAATGCAAATTATACACTAATCACTATTACGCATAATATTCCATATAAATATAACGCAGTAGCACTGGATGTAAAGATGTATCTTGGAAAAAAGTGCTACACTGACAAAGGTTTTCGACAGGTTCAAAATGAAAGTCAAAAGATAATCTGATCTTGATTTCATAGACAATCCTTTCATGATATTGTCCCTTCTCTTGTAAAATTTTAAGACTAAAACTGGTAATAAGATTTCGATTTGCGAAGATACCGTGAAATTGCGTCCAGAGAAAAATCTGTTTTCATTTTTTTATTCTCTCTAATTCAATATCGCTCAATATCTTGGTGTGTAAATATTAAATAAATTGTTGTAACGTAACAATAGATTCCAAGCAAAATTCTCCAGTGTTCAATGATATATCAAGCTAATAGATGTAAAGCTCGCTTATACGCAAAATATTTAATAATTGTAATTTAACCCTTTCGAGTAAAACTTTTCATACGCGTAGTAAGAGGGCTAGTATAAAAAATTCTTTGAAATCTACACCGTTTACAATTCACGATAGAGGTATCGTTTTTATTAGTATCACTTTTTTGATAACGAACGTGTTCAACGCTATAACTATTATTAATTTTTCAATTTTACGATACATCTTAGGGACACAGTCAAGAAAGGGTTAATTGTATGATATAAATAATCTCTTTGTGAAAGTCGAACACTGGAGTTTATAAAAAAAAAAATATCGTCATTTTATTTGGACCAATATTTCATTTTCAAAATACTTGTTGGAGAATGCGAGAAATAATTTTTCGATATGTACGTGTTATTTAAGAATTGTCAGGATGAATCTTTTACATAACTATCCGCCCAGAATATTAGTCGGTTAATGGGCACTGTTGTGAAAACATTGTAACGCGCGTACTTAAAGAGAGTTAATCATGGATCAATGGCGAAGCACGTGGAACAAGATGTAACGAAAAAGAGTTAGTGTATTCTCTGTAATCTATTTATTCCGATTTTCTTTCCGGGAGTTCGGCTAAGATTCGACGAGTGCAGACAGACTGTGATCCGCTTTGGGTGTCCTTAGTCTTCGAGAGCTGTTTAACGAGTGAGACTTCGTGTTAACTAAATTAAAGAAGAGAAGAAACGGGAAGAACAGGAGAGTTTGCGTGAGAGGGAGAGAAAGATAAGAACGTGTGAGGAACGAGTTCAGAATGCGATTGCATATTTAAAAAAAAAAAGGAAAAAAAGGGAACGAAATATGTGATTCCCTGTATGTGTAACTTAAGAAATAAATTATTGGTTGACGATGTTATATTGAAATATTTAAAGAAAAATGAGCGACACTGTATATACGTATAAATAAAATAGACACGCATAGATGATACGCACATACGTTACACAACTATACACGAACATCACTTTGTTGTAAACTTGGGAAAAACACGTACAAACACACGGTTTACACGCTTACACGCGATATTGAGAAAATATACATACTATTATATAAATATAAATATGAACATAAATATAAATATATAAATATATATAGATTATTAATATACTCCAGCTATGTATAAGGATACAATAAAAGAAAGCGAAGCTTTAATATTGCAAATAACGATGGTTTGTTTCTTCTCGTCCATTGGCATCTTTGATCTCTCGAAACCGATGTTCTTTTAAATTAGTTGTACGAGCGGGAAATTCAAATCGAGCAAATCTACTTTCATGTCAACCTCTAATAATTATTAGAAATATACTTGTAATAAATTTATTACATATTATTAGGAATATACTTGTAATAAATTTTCTGTATATCACTAATATTGTCTTTTGAGGTATTTGTATCAATTTGAATTCGACCGCCATACTTCTACACTACGCGCATGCGCACTCCCGATTCTTTTGACTTTGGCATTTAAATTGGTAGAGTCTCTCTCTAGGTGGTTTTCTTGTCACAACCTACGTTGCTTACTTAACCTATCTTTTTTCTTTATTCTTAAATCATTAAGTTAAATTCTAAAATGTCTTAAGTAATTCGGGATTGAGGAAAGTAAGCAATAGCGAGGTAAAGAAATGTCAGACAAACATCTGGTCGTTTCAAAATTATTTTTTATATTTCAGTAATCCGATTTTGTTCACGTAACGTACATCGAAAGAAACATCGAGTGCAAAGGGTTTTGCTTATCGTACTATATTAGCCTCGTATAGGACTCACTGTTTTGTCACAGAACATCAAAAGCGTTTCATGCAATGCTGTCCTCTCGTCACGCGGTTAAGCCGGTGAGAACGAGAGACAGATCTTCGTCGATCGGGGACCGGTAAATGTATTTCCGACGCAATTTGCACGAAATCAACAACTCAATTAAACAACACATACACACGAACGCGTGTTTATACTTCCGCTCGTTCTTTCGGCGCGTATTAAAATGCACTCGTCGCAGGCGAGTATTTTAATACATCGTATTTAAATGCCGGTCGGTAAATGTGTTCTCTGCGCGAAGCAAACGCGGGAAATGCTCGCGAGATTATAAAATAGGAATGCTTCGTAACGAAATAGAAAATAAGAAAAGAAGAGGGAAGTAAAAGCATGGGATTCGTGCAAACTTAAGTAAAAATACATTGACAATCGTTAGAATTTACAATACGCGTATAACGAATCATAGCTAAGAGAGTAATAGTCGCCATATACAATAACTTCCGGTTGTGCCGTTTCCGGGGTCGAATCGAGAAGTCTCCGAAATGCAACGATGCTTGTACTTCTACAGGTAAAACTTTATAAATGCTTTCCTCTGCTAATAACATAACCAACAGTCGGTTAAAACATTTGCCAATATTTTCAGATTTTTTCTCACCACGGTAATACGATCGAAACCGAGCCATCTTGGTTACGCTTATCGGCAGATGCGATTTTTGCACACGAAATCACCGCTCCCCAAGCAACGAGTAACAAGTGCCGACTCCGATATATTACCGAGTTAAGGAAAATTAGAAGCGGGTAGGTTTCTCTGGGAATTACTAATAAAAATTCCTCTAAATTAATCTTACTATAAAATTAAGGTTACAAAATGGAAGAATTAGGAATAGTTTTAAAGCTATCGTTATTCTAATGTTCGAACGAAGAACTCATGAAAAGGATCAACCCTATGACTACCTCTATATTCCCAAGAGAAAGCTACCGCGCTTCTCTCAGGTTCTAACACGAAAATACAAAGGGTCCGATAAAAGATAACGTCCGCAATCTGTGATCGCAGCGAGACATCTCGACTCGAGACAGAAACGTTAGATATATCAATATTCAGCACCATATAACACTTCCGTAAATCGCTATTTAAACTCACTACGGTTAACGATATATAAATACAATCGAGAAATAAATAATGTTCATTTGTAACATTCGCTAATACGAGTTTCATCGGCGCACGAGCAGTTAAACTCTATTTAATCGCTAGCAAAAAAGGATCAGTCTGACACAAAATTACTTAGATTCTTGCAACTAGGTACAAAGAGAACTAGACACAAGGTGAACATACAAAACGTGAATCCAATGAAACGTCTGCCCGTGCGCTTTTCTATCACATTTAGAAATTAGACTTCAACTCTGCAACAATCACTGATGTTTCAACATTGGGAATAGGCTCGAGAGAGTCAGGTAGATCTCGCCAGAAGGAAACTGCGACTGGACGTGTTTGTGGTTTCTCGAGGAAACTACGAAGCTCGATAATAATCGATGAAACAGGGAAACACTGGATTTCGATCGCTCTTACAGGAATCGGACTTTTAAATAATTAAACGTCGTCCATGTTTGATACAAAGTTCGCAAGCTGTTCAGACGTAACTAGACTCTTATACTCTTCTCGCCCGGGAACATTCGTAAACTCTAATCGAATAAAGATTATCGAAACGCAATTATTACGGTATACTCGCAGACTGTACACGTTCCAGGTTCTTTAAATACTAATGGCGCAATTTATTTGCAGGAAACTCGTGGACGACAGAGTCTGGCGCAACGTGCTCTTCTTTCGGTCGGGAGTCCAGGGAGAACTTAGAATAGGAATTTGGAAGTTTGAGAATTTATGCCTTCAGATATTCGAGGATTTATAGATTCGAGTAATGCTTCAGTTAATTTGAAAATATCGAAATTTCGTAGTTGAAGAACTCAGGGTTTGCAAATTCCCTTAACCGAAAGAAGCTTTCGTTGCACTCATAATATATTCTGTAGACCGTGTGCTGATAGGGCATTACTGTATTAAAAATAAAAACCAAGTCTCCTTAAAATAGAAAAATAAGGGAAGAAATTTTTGAATATCAAACATCGACTATTGAGAATAGTGAACAGAATTAGATAAAAATTGTGCTTGTGAGAGATCGAAACATAGTTATTTTTCTTAAGGATCATGAAACGTTGGAAAAGGATCATATTCTCAAGTTACGAAAAACACGCACAAGGAGCTTTCACAGAATCTACAATCGGTAACATATAATGCGCACGCTATTTAACGAGACATTTTAAATACAACTAACACAGCGATCGCTACCCGCTAGAGCATCAAAATCTCGGCTCTTCTTCCTTTCATTCTTGTTCTTCGATCGTACGGACGGTAGCTTTCGTCGGAGAATAAGATTCTCTTGATTATACATATGTATATATATATACTCTTTGAAAAAAAGCACGCGTAAATCAGTTTCCAGTCCGATTTCTGACTGTTCGTTCGTTTGTGAAGACGGACCTATTCGAGTTAGTCTGAAAAAGCTTGCAATGTGAAAAGCACATGCCTTTTCAGAATTCTCAATTTTCTTTCGAGTTTTCAAATATCAATGGTCGTTTTACCCGCCAAAAGATTAAACGTAACATTCAAATGAACTCTATTTGTGAATTAAAAATTGTTGATAATTATGTAGAATGATCTCATTTGTTTTAAGGACTTTGATATATATTAGATGTTACAAAGATCAATGTCAGCTATTATATTAAAGAAATCTATACATTCCTCAATAAAAAGTTGCATGATATAGACTCTTTTTATATTGTCATAGAACAAGCTACAATGAAAAATTGGAATTGGCAATATAATAATTTGTACAATGGTGCACCACTAATACATAACATGTTTACGCTACGACAGTAGGCGAGCTACTGTTATTGCTGCGCACTGCGCACATATATATAGTGGGGGGCCGCCATTGGGATGCGTGCGCAACGGTGACCGGGGTGGGGGGAGACTACTTACGCGCACACGAGTCGCGGAGCGTCATTAGCGCATGTGCGCTGCGAGGTGAAACATGTATGTCATACGTAAATGACAATATACTAAAAGTCCACTGTATAACTCAAAGTACAAACTGACCATCATAATGTATATCAAAGTCATTAAAAAAGAGGTCTGAAAAGATTATTATATATTGTCAATATTTCAAAGGGTCCCTTGACAATACTTAAATATGGACAATATTGTATTAATATAAACTGACCGTGAATTTAGGAATTTGGAAACGTGCAGTCGTCGACAGTTTTGGAATATTGACAATATTCATAAACGCCCAATAGGTCTACCTCCATCGTACGATATTAAAAAATGATTCCAACTGAAATAGCCTAAAATTTTGTGCGTGAATGAATCTGTTTTCACGTGTGTGTATGTGCGTCGAGAAACGAGATGAAACTTGAAAGCATTGAAAAAAATCGATTCGATGAAATAATTGATTTTTGTTGTTGCTTTTAAGCTTCATATACGAACACAATTACACGAGCCAGTTGTAACTGATGGTACTTTATGTAGTCAAAGAGGACCTGTTTCTCGTATATCCAACGCTTTTTTTTTTCTAATTTCTCCCGTATCTAAACTATATTCACACGATTTTACATTATTATTGTTATTACTATATCGTTATTATTAATATTATTATTACAAAGTATATCATCGTGATCGACAGATATGATGATTGCTTAACACACACGAAAGAGGAGCCGGTGGTGGTGATTGAATGCGATTTCGAAAGGCTTTCTCGAAGCATGTTGTTCTCTTTTTTTAGAATATCTTTTACCCAACACTGTGCACAGGCGATATTAAGTACGGTATACAGAATTTATTTTTCTCGTAATCTTTTTTTTATATTTTTAGATTGTTTTTTTTTTTGTACGGCTTCCTGATATCTTTCAGACCCAGGATAAAATCCACGATGTTCGTTCGTTTTCAGCGACGTTGGTCCCTTTTTGTTGTTATTTTTTCTTTTGTAATTCTCGCGTTCTCGGAACGAAAAGTAAACCAAGATCGTTGAAATGGAAAGAAATATGACGGATTTTAACACAGGTCTGAAGAAACATAAAGAATACGACGTATGTCTAATTGTGATATTTTATATTAATTATACGTCATATATATTTATAAATATATGATATTTATATATATATATTTTTTTTTTATTCTTGTCGCTTATATATATTTATAAATATATACATTTTCTATCTTCCTCGTATTTATATATTTATACTTATATTTGTAAAAAATGATACGTGTACATACGCACGTACATGTATCATTTTTTATAAATTATATTCTAAAAAGGAAAGGTACCACCATCGATAGTCACGTGTGACCCTACTTAGAACTGTATATTGCAACAATATTAATTCTCTTTTATCATCTTCTTAATTTATATAACATAATTTATATATATATCTATATTTATTTATAACTTTATGTACCACTTCGTGTACTAAATTTACGTACACCAACGTTACTTTTGTTGCCTAATTGTTGGCTCACTTTACAGTTCATCGACGAAGCAACGTTTTCCCGCGTTTTTTCAACGAACCAACGTGTCACGTGATTTCCGGTTCACGTGGCACCCATGGTCCGGTAACGCGATACTAACCTTCGTCGATGATGAAAACAACTTGTCGCTTAAAACACGTCCTATTTAACACGATTGACTAGCGATTACACAAATTCTCACAGGGAAAATTGTTGCTGTTGTTTTTTTTTTATCTTTTTTAGGGTTAGAGGAAGTTGGCGGTTTGTAAAGAGTACTATCGTCCGCAGCAGTTTTATTTTTATCGCTTTACCGTAAATTTCAAATTGTTTTTCTCGCGGAAAATTTTTATACACCGGCAGAAACCGTAACGATAGTTCTCTTTACGAAGAGAATTTTAGAAAAGAACGAATTTCGTTAACAAAAATATACAAAAAGCTCTAAAACGACGACGTGGGGAGAAATGGTCAGATAAAAAAAAAAGAGGTTTGCGAAAAAATTATAAAAATATATGTACGTATCTTCAACTAACATTAATGCAACTTAGCCGCGTGCAATTTCGAGAATACTTGTTCAAAATTACAAATACTGTAAAATAATATGATAAACGAAACGTCACACGTTTCAAAACAAAATATACATATATCTTACTTAAAAGAAGAAAAGAGGTATTCCGTTTTTGTCAGCTCGATGATCGTTGCGATTACAAATTTTTCCTCGTTCTAGAACAAACAGATCGATATTCGATCATTAAACAACTTTTTTTTAACGAATACTATCTTTCATTTGGTAATCTCGACGGATCAGAATTCGTAAAACTGGCAAAACTTATTTTTCTACACATAACCACAAAGTCGAAAGAAATCGATTTACCTTGCTCGACGTATCGATGTGTTTAGGACGGCAATCGTTACGTTCTCTTTTATCTGGACACCACTTTCACCGAGCATCGAGAATTATATTTTCGACAAAAACGGATTTACAACCGAATGAGACACATCTAACACACGACGCGTAAAAAATTAAAAGAACATCAATAACGACGATAAAGTGCTTGCTTTCTCTTTTTGTTTTTTTTTTTAACGCGTGGAATAATCGTTACACGTAGCGATTGGACCGATATCGATACGTACCGAAATTTTAGATGCTTGTTTTTAATTATCGATAGAGTTTTCTTCGACCGATACCACTACTTTGAATCAAAATTTGATACTTCACGAAGATATCGACACATTTTGACATTTACGTTTTTAATACCGCCCGATACCAGATCGAAATTTCTGGATTGGCATCCAATAGTATCGACGCGGTATCAGTCCCAATATTATACGATCATTCTAAGCGTAACGATACACCGTATATAATAGTAATTGCCTATTCGAACAACGCACAAAACCGTCTTTTTTCTTTTTTTTTAAGCGTAGGCCGGACTAACTTGTCTCTCGAGCATAAAACAATAACCTCCGTAGCCCGAAATATCGAGCCAAATTGGCCTCTGCGTTCTCGTTCTGACTAGATTTACGATAAGTAAGTGTACAAACATCGATGAATCGACTGCTGTTCCATGTCGATCAGATCATTTTTCTCACGTACAATTCTTCTACGAATAATACACGTTAATAGAACTATCGACTTGTTGCGATTCGAGGACCATTTTACGTATTACGAAATAAGTATAAATTCTATGTGTCAACAATAAGTTTACAAAGAGATTCACCGACGACACGGACGCAGCACTCGAGGTTTGGTACACGGAGAGTGACATCGACCCATCGATCGATACATCGACAGGATACTACGATCACTGGTCAGTAATTATTGCTATGCAAGCAAAAGCCGTAAAAAGGTTTACGATCAGCTACATTTATACATGCGAATGACCATCGCACGATACGGCTCTCTTGAAAGCGGCATCGTGAGTAGACAATATACTATATTTTACATACATTAATTCTCCTTGTACTTTCTAAGATCGTGCGACAAGTATCATATGTCGTGTCGTGGGTTTGGAATACGTATTGTTTTTTAATCATTTTGATCGTGTCTCGATACTCTACGCGTTCTTTGCACTTCGAGTTCTGCACAAGCTCGAAGTACACAGAGGGCAGCATCTCGACCGGTACAAAGCGATTTTATTTTTATTTTTTGTATCTTCACTGGATCTAATATATTACTCGTTCAACGAAAGATTCGCCACCTCCAGTTTTCTGTCATATACAGCACGGACAAAAATACGTCCATAGGGGGAAGAAATGATAATAGGAAATATACAAGATTCTTGCCCACTGAGTGTACACGTTATGCGCATACCGCATGCGCATTTATGACCTAACCAATAAGAGCTGACATGCGCGCGGAATCTTGATCTTTCGTTGAACGAATAATGCGACATAAAAACGTACAATACGATAATTATTCACGACACCGAATTAATGCATCCTGTCGTCAAAACGAGTCGCTAGATTACAAAATCTGGGGCTGAGAAGTTTTCGTCGCCTAGCGACTCGTCGCGCGACAGCGTTAAAATATTTTCTCTCTTGCGCGCCGCAGTTCGAATTTACGTTGACTAAAACGTATTTATTAATTACTAGTTGTTACGCTATTATTACTAATTACCGTTTAAATTCTCTCTTTTTAAAACTATCAACGACGACTCGAAGTTTACATCAAGGATCGATGATCGAATCGAAATGTGGATCATGATTCATTCGCGATTCGATAGGGACATCTTTGATGGAAACTCCAACTTATAGAGTATTTTACTTATATTTTCTTTTCCCTCTGCTCTTTAAAACATCCAAGAAATCGTTCTCCCTTATATCGCGGATAATTTTATCGTCCAACCCGTTTCGGTTGGAAACTCGACTCAGCGTGTAACCGTTCATCGATTTCTATTTTGAAAACGTGCTTCGAGCGTTTCTGCACGCCGCAAATAAGGCTTGACTATTTGATCACTTAATACGCTAAAGAGCTTTCAGCCATTTCCTAATGGTTTTAAGTACACGAAATTGATGCTTCAAGCTTTAAAGAACACCTAACTAGAGACAACACGTACGAAGATTCTGGAAGGTGCATCAATATCGCTAGGTGGACATCTGTTTTTCTTTTTTTCTCTTTTTTTTTACTCTGCGCATCAAGTTCGATCACTTCGAGTCTTCCTTTGTCCACTGTATTTCCCCTCTTCTCTTTTTTGTTATACTTTAGGCGTATATTAAAATAAGTTAAGGTTATACGTGTTACACATACGTATATGTATATATATATATATATATATATATTATATTATTTTGTGTTAAGTTTGACGGTCGACCACCAGTGGACTCCGTCGCGTCTATTATCACTTAAAATTCTATATTTCTTTTTTTTAAGTATGAAACACCATGACCACCTGGTCAGATCGTATCCTGCTCGATCTTCACCACGCGAGCATGGCTTTAATGTTGTATTATTTTAAACTCTATCGGAAAAGCGCTGCGAGATGACCCTCTGGGATTAAAGCTCAACGAAAAGTTTTAGTCCGTTCGAATTCTCGTTCGAACAGGAATACAACTTCTCGTTTTTTTTTTCTTTCTTTCTAATTAGTTATTCTATACTATGTTCGTATGCACAGGATTTACAGACTCGACATTTATAATTGCGCCTGCTGGTTTTACTTAAAACTTAAGCCCAGCTTACGTTTCAGTCTTGATCACTAGTGATTCGACACACTACGCTAAGACTCCTAAAACTCGACTTATTTTTTAAGCAATATTCTTGGAATAACTCGATCATCTTATTTCTGCCACGATAGAAAAACTCATGATTTGTAATATGAAACTAAGTACATACGTAAATGTGTAAGCGTTAAAAAAAAACACGTAAGTGTCAAGTCTTTATAACGTGATAAACCATGAGTCTGTAAATCAGAAGATACTTACATGTTCCAGTAGAACTGAGTCGTGAGAAAAAACTTGTAACTTCAATATTTTTTGTTATCTTTCAGACTCAAGGTTGTTCCTGTGCAAATTACTTGTTCGTCATTGGTATAAAACGTTTAGAGGAAATCCTCTATAAGCGCTCTGAGAGGAAACGAAATATACGATTAAGAAAAAAGTTCTTATCGATTCGAATCCTTTTCCTCCATTCTCTAAATAGTTCTGTAGAGTTTCTAACAGTATTTATACATAATTTGTAAGAATATCAATTCAACAGAAATGATCAGATCGCCCAGCGATCGTTATCGCCATGCCATTGAAAATGACTTTCTTTGCTGCGTTTCTTTTTTGTACTAATTCCCTTAATCAGTATTTGATTCCAAAGTACATTTTTTAATCATCGTGAATTGGATCTCTCATTAGCGTTTCCTCTCGAACATGCCCTAGTCTTTTGGCTTTTCAAAATAAAAATTAAAAGAAAACGGTGATTCTGTCAGACCTTGAAACAGACTTCGATCCAAACACGTTTCTTCTCGTGCCAAATTAGCGTCATACTTGTAATCAATATTCCTGCAAAGATGTTGTAGAAAACAGAACGAAGTTTCCAAATTTCTTCACGATCTCCATCACTTTTTCCCGATAGCTTGAACGTTGCTTCCAATGATAAAAAATTATCTCCGATGGAGATCAAATACAAAGGAGATTCCGAGCAGCTTCATAAACGCTGATATTCAGCTTTGCAGATTGGCACGTTCACCAATTTTCCAAGCAAGAAGCATTGAAATGACATTAACATTGTATCCTCTTTCTCGTTTACTCAATTTGTTCTTACTTTTTACTGCGCTCCAAACCTGGCTGGGTTGAAGTCTTTGTTGATGAAAGAGAAGCCTTGGAATTCCTCTTGATTGATATAGTTCACTTCTTCTGGATTTTCTGGTGTCAGTACAGGATCTTCTTTCGTGAATTCTGTGTCGAAGTTCATGGCATCTTTTTTACTTTTCTGAAAAGTTTATAGGAACATCGTGAAATAATTTAATATTAAATTCAATTTAATATTGCATAGAATCAATTTTTATGAACTTACAATTTTTGGCCTAATCGGTGGTTTTACTTTGCGCGCTTCGAGAGCGTCCCAGTCCATTTCTTGAAAAAATGGATGGGCTTTTATAGCGCTCTCGCCACCGTTAGCAGCAACGCAGCCTAATCTTTTAGCAGGATTCTTTGTCATAAATCCTTTCAAAATAGACACTGCTTCTTTCGAGATCCAAATTGGGTAAAGCACGTCGTCTCGCAAAATAGATTCGAATAAATCATCTTCATTATCCGCTTCAAAAGGTGGTTGACCAGCCATCATTTCGTACATTAAAACGCCTAATGCCCACCAATCGACGCTGGCGCCATATTGCAATTCTTGAAGAATTTCGGGTGCAATATAATCGGGAGTTCCACAAAATGTCGACGTAGTTGTGTTCCCTTCAATGATACCCTCTTTACACATTCCAAAATCTGCTAATTTACAGTGACCTTCCTGGTCGAGTAATATATTGTCCAATTTAAGATCTCGGTATATAACATGATGTTTATGAAGAAATTGCAGTGCAAGTGTAACTTCTGCTGCATAGAAACGTGCTCTTGCTTCATCGAATTTTCGAGCTCTCTGAATATGGAACATTAAATCACCTGGAACAAATAAAAATAACAGGTTAATTGTTACTTTAATATTACTAAGTAATTAATAATTTTTATCAATATTTACCTCCGTTCACGTACTCCATAACAAAGAACAACCGATCGCTTGTCTGAAAGCAACTGTGAATAGCAGTGAGGAAAGGATGCTTTGCTGCCAACGTCAAAATTCGCTTTTCCGTCATTGTACAGTCAACATCATCGTCTTGTATAATCGCATCTTTTCTTAAAATTTTCACGGCGTATACTTCATCAGGATTAGCTTTTCGTTCTACAAGCATCACTTTTCCAAAACTACCTTTACCAAGGACTTTGATAAAATTAAAATCTTCGATACCAAATTTTCTAACTTCATTCTCACTAACAGGTACTGCATTTTCACTAACGATAACTGGCGTTTCTTCTGTTTTTTGTTGAACTGTTTGCGAGTTATCGGTTGGCAACGTATTTGTGACTGTTACAGTTTTGGATGTTTCACCAGATTGACAAGTTGTTGTTCTATAATTAATCTTTGGAGTTTTTATTTGTTTATCTGGTGATATATTCATTGTACTTAAAATCTCAGCCATAGCTTTAGTATCAATACCACAGTTATTTGCTACATTCTTCTGACATCTTTTGTGAACATTCATATCACAAGCTGTATAAGACAAAAAATAAATTCAGCTGTACAGTTATACAAATCTTCTTATTCATAAAAAATAGGTTAATGAAAAATTACCTTCGCATTGTAAACCTTGTCTATACAAGCCATACAATAGTGAACCACAATGGTCACAAAAAGTAAATCTCTTGAAATTGTGAACAACAAAACGGTGTGGCATATCTATACTGAAACGTGGACTTTCTGTATCTTGACTTGACTGAAATCCAGTATCAATAAAATATTAGATCATTCATCTTTATGGCATATAAGACAAGTAGTATTAAAAACATGAACACAAAATAAATTGTTATTACCTCGTCTCTCATGCCTGGGCATTTTGTAATAACTAACTTGTGGCACCTCTTATGAACAACGCATGTGCAAACTGAAACATAATAATTTCTAATTTAATACATAAACTTTCGTACACATACAACATTTAAGTATAGCATGACCAAAGCTGGCTGCATGCGTGATTAAACGCACTGATTTAAGATGACAAGCATAAATAAAATTTGGTGGATGTTGTGATAGTCTTGCCATAGAAACAGTATAAGCTTGAACATTAAAAATAGAATATGATTTCTAAGGATGTGATAAAATGAAACCACTGAAACCTGTTAATGGTTTGTTATACTTTACTTAAAAACATGCAATGAAATATTTCCCCCTCATGTTAAATCACAGGTAATACAGTTTGCATTAAGAACTTGAATAATGGATTACAGATATTAAGTTTCATTTTGCAAGTATTGTTACAGAAAGCACAGCATCAAGTATTGAACCATGGGCCAAATTAAATGTCAAAAACTCATTTTTAAATTTAATTATGAAACTTTCTGAATGTTCTAAATAGTTTAATTTTTTTTAGCTAAGTACACATACACACACCTAGATAAACATATGTTCACACAAAGGTAGAGCAAGCATATATATAATTATAATATCTGTTAATAACGTGTATGTGTCTTCTCACCTTGACACTGATAGCCCTGCTTGCCCAAGCCCCTGAAATACAACAGACAAAACACATCACATCATCTCCTTGTAACCCTCATAAAACACATACGTATGCTTTCTTGGGCCATGAACCATAATTAGATGTTTATGCTATTTTTTCAAAAAAAAGATTAGAAGACTATTGCCATTTTATTTGTTTCTACCTTACATTTTTTTAATATAGTCTTAAAATTATTTTATGATTATACCAAAGAATTATTGTATATAAATACTACAACACAATGTTAATTTGTAAATAATTTCACCAAACAGTATACGTAGTATGTGCTTGCAAAACCAATGCATGCAGCCTATTCGTGGTTAAATAACTGATTTCATTAATATATATCTACTATTACTTAACTATTATCTTACCATACAGAGGAAGAGACAGAAAAGAATGTTTGAAAGTTTGAAGCCAGTATATCTAACATGTTTGTTATATATTCATTTTGATACTCCAGATACCATGTTACATGTTAATAAGTTAATTGAAAAATTATTCATTATACATTTGTTATAATGTTTGGTCATAAAAAATATCTGTGTAATGTTTAGAAAAGCTATATATTTTTTGTACGATAGTACCATAAATTATAAAGAACCAAAAACCCAAACATGCAACACCTTTAAACTTATCCAAAATACCCAAACTCCACATTAATTTGGTGCGCAATGCATTTTATACGAATTAATTTGAACACAAAAGTTAGTTAAAGTTATTTTAATTGCACTCATTTTTCAAAGCACGCACACCAAATTAAACCCACAATATTTATATTATGAAATGATTTAAATTAGTAAATGTATTGAATTAATGTTAGTGTGCTCGTGAACTAAACCCTAAGCAAAATATTATTGAAATAATTTTGCAAAAAAACATACCATATAAATTCACGGCAGTGAGAACAGAAAGTCGGTTGCCTCAGGAAAGTAGCCATAAATTTATGACCATTTGCTTGATGAACTCTGCGTCGCATTGCAAACCTTCGCCGATTGAAACCCTGTCGTTCTTTGAACTCCCTCCTGGGTTCTTTCCCAGCAGTGATGCTTCCACCACCTCTGCCTCCGATACCTGCTCCATCACTTGTACCACAGCCTGTTCGTTGATCTAAAATTTTAGTATGAAAATATACCCTACATGCAATATTCTAACTACACATTCCTTACCTTGATCATTCCACTTTAAGTCAATCCTAACCCTGAGTTTTCCTTGAGGTTCAAGGTCAACCTAAAATAAATTTTGTTTTATATTGATAATTTGTAGAGGATATTATTTTGAAGTAATTACTATACACGCAACACATTTAAAGTAGGTAACAAACTATAAATTATCCCTTCAATAATAAGAGTTATATGCAAATGATAACAGAAGTACACCTGGCTTCCTTTCTAGACATTGATATGTAAAAGATGTAAAACGATACCATATTAGAAGAGACTAAGATATATGCAGTTTCTACATTCAAAACATATGAGATACTATTTTGATAACCATACAACTGAAACATCACTGACACTTTACAAGTATATAATCTTTATGCATTTGTAACATTTTAAAGAAACTCTATTTTTAATCATTAAATGTTTCATATGTAAGAAATATCTATCTCCTCCCTTTCTTTACTTTAATTTTCATTGACATAATCTTATCAGTCTGCCTTGAGTTGTACTATAATGACATAATAACAAATGTACACAAACATAGATTATACATTTACTGTACACATGTCTATTAGTAAGGTGTGCTGAAATTAACAGAGTCCAATCAATCATAAATAACAAATTCAACTTTGCGAACATATAAATGTACAAATACATATACTTAGGAATGAAACCAATAAAAAATAGATACATAATACATTCTGTACATAATAAAGGATCATGAACATGAAATCAACTTATCAACTTAGTGTAGTTATAAGAAAAAGAATAAATTAAAAGTTGAGATTCATAAACATATCAATATACAAATATATATACTCCAGAATGAAACTAATACAAATAAAGATGCAGTACACGCTGTAACTATGGTGAAAAAATTGAAGAAATTTGCGAGTTAGAATGAAAGAGAATAATCATAGTCGAAACCAACCCAAAAATCCGCAGGTTTGTCATTTCTGCTAACAAGTTCCTCGAAAGGGATACTGCAATTGGCGACGAAATAATCCGGCGGTAATGCCGCATCGTGGAAGACAGTGAGTCCAAGCATCACCGCGTCTTGGACTTCGTGGGTGAAACTCTCGTTCCATACCGGATCGAAGGTTTTCGGTTTGGTGGAGGAGCGATCAAGATGATTCTCGTCAACGTCGAGTTGAACGTAAGGATCGAGTATAGGTTCATCCTGCCAGAACTTGCGTTGCTTGTTAGTCGCCCTAAGTCCGACCGCTTCGCATATTTGGATCTTCATTGTCCCGGTGAACATTGTGAATCGGTTATGTGACCCGGTATTGCCAAGAAGGGTAGGACAGAGGACGGATTAGAAGAGACTAAGATATATGCAGTTTCTACATTCAAAACATATGAGATACTATTTTGATAACCATACAACTGAAACATCACTGACACTTTACAAGTATATAATCTTTATGCATTTGTAACATTTTAAAGAAACTCTATTTTTAATCATTAAATGTTTCATATGTAAGAAATATCTATCTCCTCCCTTTCTTTACTTTAATTTTCATTGACATAATCTTATCAGTCTGCCTTGAGTTGTACTATAATGACATAATAACAAATGTACACAAACATAGATTATACATTTACTGTACACATGTCTATTAGTAAGGTGTGCTGAAATTAACAGAGTCCAATCAATCATAAATAACAAATTCAACTTTGCGAACATATAAATGTACAAATACATATACTTAGGAATGAAACCAATAAAAAATAGATACATAATACATTCTGTACATAATAAAGGATCATGAACATGAAATCAACTTATCAACTTAGTGTAGTTATAAGAAAAAGAATAAATTAAAAGTTGAGATTCATAAACATATCAATATACAAATATATATACTCCAGAATGAAACTAATACAAATAAAGATGCAGTACACGCTGTAACTATGGTGAAAAAATTGAAGAAATTTGCGAGTTAGAATGAAAGAGAATAATCATAGTCGAAACCAACCCAAAAATCCGCAGGTTTGTCATTTCTGCTAACAAGTTCCTCGAAAGGGATACTGCAATTGGCGACGAAATAATCCGGCGGTAATGCCGCATCGTGGAAGACAGTGAGTCCAAGCATCACCGCGTCTTGGACTTCGTGGGTGAAACTCTCGTTCCATACCGGATCGAAGGTTTTCGGTTTGGTGGAGGAGCGATCAAGATGATTCTCGTCAACGTCGAGTTGAACGTAAGGATCGAGTATAGGTTCATCCTGCCAGAACTTGCGTTGCTTGTTAGTCGCCCTAAGTCCGACCGCTTCGCATATTTGGATCTTCATTGTCCCGGTGAACATTGTGAATCGGTTATGTGACCCGGTATTGCCAAGAAGGGTAGGACAGAGGACGGACGACCCAGTCGACGGGCTGTCACGCCTGTCGACGAGCTGACACTCGGAATTGTGCGATCAGGTTATCCAGATTCGATTCAACTTATCGGCGGAAGTTGACTCAACTCTGTTACGCTTTACCAACGAGTTTCGAGACGAAAACGATCGCTGGAAGGTTCGATATACAACACGATATTGAAACCTCTGAATGACTTCACAAATAAGGTTCCCGCGGTAAATACGACCTTCCGTAGAGATGTGTGGCGCACCGCTTCGAATATCTCGTTCGACGAGCCTTCACCGATACTTTCTTTCTCTCTTTATCTCGCTTGTCCAAGTTTCTTCCCCTTCTCTCTTTTTCCTCTTCCCTTTCCCTTTCCCTTCGTCACCGCCACCAGCACCGTTCAGTTATAAACACTCGACTCTCGTCGCGTTCACGCATAACAGGCACGGAAACGGAAGCAAAATTTGCGGTGCCAGCAACAGGAGGAGCCTGTAGTCAAAGTCGACACTCAGAGGAGGTGGATGCAGGACGAGCGAACGAGAGGCGATGCTGCTTATTGCGAGGCGCCCCGTTCGCGAGTGCAAGACCTGTCCGTCTATTCCCGATCTCCTGAGAGCCATTAAGCTCCGTTTTCTCTCTTGGTTCCTACTTCTACGTTTCTCCTTTGGTCTACGCGTCACTCAAATCGATTCGAACACGAGTTCCACATCGGAGAATCTTGTTTCGCGGTTTAGAAACAATGACGTATCGCGATAAGCACTCGTTTATCGTCCCTGGACAACCCCACCGACCCGAACCGCTCGATTGGTCACTCCGCGCTTCGTCTAAACTCGATCTCGACCTCGGATGCCTTTCGGAATAACTCGTGCATTTTCGCCGAAAGCTCAGGCTGCGTTTTCACCCGCGAATGGAAGACTTCGTTCGTACAACTTTATATCGAATTCTTCGATAACCTTAGGATAAATATAGCAACCGTAAATGAAGAGAATAAATTCGCGGAGATTGATCGTGATTTTTCGAATATGAATTAAGTTATTCGGGTATTTGTCAGGATTCGAGTATAGGGAGAGCTTGCGGAGCAAGTAGAGGCACTAGAACGATGCGCAGCCATCTGATTGGCGGAGGTCTGGCTAAAAAAAGCACTTCTACTTACGGTACTGGTTTCCAGCGTTTGCTGAAATATCCAGAACCACTTGGAAACAAAATATTTTGTTCGAAACGTTCCATAGAGCAAATCGATAATACCGATTCTTTATCATGAAATATTATTATGGAATCGGAGAATGAACTGATGAAACATATTAGGGATATTGATTTAGGGAAATAGGTCTCCGATAGGGCGAACCAGGGCCGCCGCGTGTAGGTGTGCAAGTTGTTCGCTGCACAAGAGCGGCAGTTTGATTGATTGCAAGTATAATAAAATTTATTTTTATGATGCCATTTTAGGAACCGGACGGAAGTGGCGTCATTTAAGGAAAACTCGAAAGTAACTCTCGTGCACGTGGCTGCTTCGAAGCGAATAACTGTTATCGCGTTCGGAACGATGAGGTAAACGCGCATAAATAACAGATTTCAATGAATAATGGAATTTCTGGCTTTTATTGAGCTATATAAATAAACGAACACAGTTATGAGTCTAGTATTTACACCCACGATGATACATCAACGCAATGATATCCTCGCGTCATCTTCTCGGGCCAGGACATTTTTGCGTTAGCGGCTCCGATGTTTTTTAGATGAAACAGAGAGAGTGAGACCCGCGAGAAAATCGGATTGTTCTTCGAGATTAAGAACTATTCCCTCGGCGATCGACCGAATTAATTCTCTTCCGTCCCTCCCTAAAAAATCTATCGCAAGTGTGTACATCCTGTATCGCGAATACGATGGATTCATTAAATAATGCACGATGAAGGAAGTACTGCTTGCGATCTATTCGGTCGACCGTCGATTCTAGCCAGTCGCAATGTATCTCGTATTCAAGAATAAATATTTTATCTTAATAAGGGGGAGGGGAGAAGTGGATTACGAGAATGTGACTTGGATCATGACTATATCGCACACGAGATAAAAACGATCTATTGATCTCGACTATTTTATGATCCCATCATCACGTCTGACGTTGCGCTCTCTTGCGTTTCAAGAACATCCTTCTTCTTCTCGTCCTGTTCTACTCCTGATATCACATAGACAGGTTGTTGGTACGCGAGGAAATGTTGGTCCGATGCTAACGATTTTGACGGATCCTTCATTTTCATCTGCAAATATTATCAAATTTTAATTTTTATTTCACCTATCTTCTTTTATTCTAGAATAGTTAATCACTGACGAAAACGTACTTTTTTACGGTACAACATTAATAGAATCAATAAACTACTGATTATAAAAGCGCTTCCTGCAGCCAGAACCAGAGTGGCTGTTTGATAAACAGGAGCTTCTACTTCCGTAAGGATTTCCCGTTGTTCCAACGCTACGATCCGGCTTTGCATGGCCATCGGAGTCGACCTGTGCGTGAAACGGGACGTAGTTGCATCCGCAAACGATCCCAACATGGTTAGCTTTTGGATCCGAGTTAATTCCTCCAGATGGAAGGCTACGTCAACCTTGTTGGGTCCTATTATTTCGAAACTGAGTATAGCCGAATCTTGATTGATTTCCACGCGTATGTCGTTCTTCATTCTGGCACCAAGGTCGTGCAGGAGATCCTTGGCCTGTCTCACGAAGGTGGCCTGGTCGTCGGCTAAGAAGCGACCGGGAAAACGTAGAGTGACTTCGACAGCTTCTACTGGAGTTGGCACTAGATACAACAGAGTTGCAATTTTATAATTATATGTTAACTGATTAATTATATCGTGAGAACATAAAAATTTGTTATATCTTCTTTTTAAATAGAACTATACATTTTAGAATTCCCAGAAGTGTAACTAACATCAGGACGAAGTAACGACCTATTGTAATACGAGAAGAATGTCTCTTACAGCATATGTTCGTTCCTTTCAGGAAGGGCTCGGAACCGATCAGCTGATTTCCCGCCTCGTCGACGCACCAACACGTGTCGCCGGCGCACTGGGTCGGCTCGAACCTGCCCTGACGATCGCAAATGGCCGGGACGTGTCCTCTGTCCTTCATCGCCCGACACCGAGTACCCAATACCTTCCCGATTTGCTTCTCGTCGGTTTCTAAGTTTATCAGAGCATTCTCCATGAATGCCTGAATTTCACGGTCGATTTCTTGAACGGCTGGTCCTCTGCCTCCCCGTCTGGCTTGTCTGAAGTTACACTTGGGTTCTGGTCCTCTGGTAAGCGAACCCTTCACCGGTTGACCCTTTCTGTTGACACACCAGCACACGCCAACGTGTTCTAAACATTGTACAGGTTCCCACATGCCGTTCTCTGGGTCACATCTGGGCAGGAACGTTGGCTGTTTTAATCTCTGTGACGTTTTCAAGTTCTTCTCTCGCAGTCTCTCGCACTGCGACAACACGGGGCAAACAGTGTCGCACACCAGACGACTGGAGAAATCATTGTGACCGAGAGTGCATTCCGTTTGCCTCCTGCATTCGTTGCGTTCCGGATCGAAGTACCATCTCTCCGTGTCGTTCATACCTATTCCCAGATTGCAAGACACCTTTCGAGGTGGTTCGAAACAAACCTCACGAGGCTTTGGACAACACACGGCGTATTCGTTCAAAGGAGACAACTCGCATTTGTGGGTGGAGGGACAATGGTGACCGTGTGGGCCACAAGTAGCGGGCGATCCGTCTGGATTCAATAGCGGAGACCCATTGGGACACGGATTGTCCTTCTTCGGTAAACACACCGGCACAGGAGGACACGGTGGTATGCTGCAGGCTACTTCGACCATTCTGCAAGCCTCGTTTTCGCCCCGACACGTTACGCTCTTGCACGGATCCCGACAGGAACACGTTGGACAACCGGTGTCTGGATCCAACTCGAATCCTTCGGGGCAGTCCAGTTTGCAGTCAATTTCTGGACATAGCAGTGGCGTGTTACACTTTGGTACTATGCCTTCGAGAACGCGCGTGCCCGCAGCTTCTCTGCCTTCCTTGTCCACGCACCAGCACATTCCGTTGTGACACTGGACTGGCTCGAACGCTCCACTGGCGTCGCATCTGGGAATGTAGATCCTTCTGGCCGGCTCTCCGATCGTGAGAACATAAAAATTTGTTATATCTTCTTTTTAAATAGAACTATACATTTTAGAATTCCCAGAAGTGTAACTAACATCAGGACGAAGTAACGACCTATTGTAATACGAGAAGAATGTCTCTTACAGCATATGTTCGTTCCTTTCAGGAAGGGCTCGGAACCGATCAGCTGATTTCCCGCCTCGTCGACGCACCAACACGTGTCGCCGGCGCACTGGGTCGGCTCGAACCTGCCCTGACGATCGCAAATGGCCGGGACGTGTCCTCTGTCCTTCATCGCCCGACACCGAGTACCCAATACCTTCCCGATTTGCTTCTCGTCGGTTTCTAAGTTTATCAGAGCATTCTCCATGAATGCCTGAATTTCACGGTCGATTTCTTGAACGGCTGGTCCTCTGCCTCCCCGTCTGGCTTGTCTGAAGTTACACTTGGGTTCTGGTCCTCTGGTAAGCGAACCCTTCACCGGTTGACCCTTTCTGTTGACACACCAGCACACGCCAACGTGTTCTAAACATTGTACAGGTTCCCACATGCCGTTCTCTGGGTCACATCTGGGCAGGAACGTTGGCTGTTTTAATCTCTGTGACGTTTTCAAGTTCTTCTCTCGCAGTCTCTCGCACTGCGACAACACGGGGCAAACAGTGTCGCACACCAGACGACTGGAGAAATCATTGTGACCGAGAGTGCATTCCGTTTGCCTCCTGCATTCGTTGCGTTCCGGATCGAAGTACCATCTCTCCGTGTCGTTCATACCTATTCCCAGATTGCAAGACACCTTTCGAGGTGGTTCGAAACAAACCTCACGAGGCTTTGGACAACACACGGCGTATTCGTTCAAAGGAGACAACTCGCATTTGTGGGTGGAGGGACAATGGTGACCGTGTGGGCCACAAGTAGCGGGCGATCCGTCTGGATTCAATAGCGGAGACCCATTGGGACACGGATTGTCCTTCTTCGGTAAACACACCGGCACAGGAGGACACGGTGGTATGCTGCAGGCTACTTCGACCATTCTGCAAGCCTCGTTTTCGCCCCGACACGTTACGCTCTTGCACGGATCCCGACAGGAACACGTTGGACAACCGGTGTCTGGATCCAACTCGAATCCTTCGGGGCAGTCCAGTTTGCAGTCAATTTCTGGACATAGCAGTGGCGTGTTACACTTTGGTACTATGCCTTCGAGAACGCGCGTGCCCGCAGCTTCTCTGCCTTCCTTGTCCACGCACCAGCACATTCCGTTGTGACACTGGACTGGCTCGAACGCTCCACTGGCGTCGCATCTGGGAATGTAGATCCTTCTGGCCGGCTCTCCGGATTCCCTAGCCGCGTGTTCCGCCACCGCTCGCGCGTGCTGACACGCGGTAGCCATTACGGGAGCCACACACTGCGTTCCACAGCCGGTGGAGCAGCATTTCTCCGTTGCTGAACATTCCTGATCATTGTTGCATTGCAATTCGCAGCTGGAGGAGCTGGGGACTAAGTACGGACACTGTCCTGGCTTCATGGCCAAACAGGCTGGAACCGCGGGACAATGTTGCCCGGATCCACAGTTCACGTCGACCATCGTGCAAGTTTCGTGAGCACCACAAGACACATCTTTACAAGGATCGTGACAACGACATTGTTCGCAACCAGTCGGATCTACTTCGTAGCCGTAAGGACAATCCAAATCGCAGGACGGAGATCCGCATAGTTTTAGAAGATCCTTTATCTCGTTGCAATCGGTGCTGCGATTCACGTCAGTTTTTAATACGACACCGCGATCGTTCACGCAGGAACAGGTACCGTTGTGACATTGTAAAGGTTTGTAGCTGCCATCCTTCTCACATTCGGGCGGTGGTATCGCTAGCGACATGTCCTCCCTTGTTCCTTCCATACGATCGTTGAACTCTCGCAAATATTCGCACACTGAAATCGAATAAAAATGAATTAATTTCAATTATATATAGCTTCTTAACATCTCGCTGATTTCTGAAATCGCGATTCTTATGTTAAACTTTGGGAACGAAAGATCTTACTAGTTTGCGGTTTAGTCGAATTCGCAGATATCATACAGCACACTGACTGTCCAGCTTCAGGTACGGCTGTACACTTGTAGCCCTGAGGGCAAGTGTCGTTCTCGGAGCAAGTTACCGCATTGCGTTCGTCGTCCATCAAAGGAGTTCCGTAGACGCAAGGGCTCTTATAAGTTTTCTTCGGTTTGCATTCTGGCCTGGTTGGACAAAGGAAGTCTGGACATCCCTCTTCTCGGTTGAGTACACACTCCTCTCCTACTGGACAAGGAAACCTGAAGAGGAAGGCATTTAGAGTTATGAAATACTGTTACAAAACGGTCTGCTCGAATGACATGAACCGTACCCTTCGCAAGGATTATCGCATTCGCAAGTTGGACATCCGGAAGCGTCGGTTTTGAACCCGTACTGACAAACTTGAGCGCACTGTTGGGAAACGCAGGATGCCGGAAGAGACCTCCCCTTCATTATCGACTTACAATCGACTTTCTCTGCCGGTCCCATGGAACCGGATATTTTCCGACCATTGTTATCCACGCACCAACAAACCAAGCCGTTCCTCGAACATTGTTTGGACTCATAACCACCGTCTGAAACGTAAATCGTCATATTAACAAGTATGCAAATGCAAACGGGGAGTTTCAGAAGTGCTGTTACAACTTTCTTTTTTTAACAAAACAACTTTGCTTAATTAGCCGAGGCAATTTTATACTTTTTATAAAAGAGATATCAAACATTGGATTTATCAGTTCAGAGTTTATTCAAGTTTCATCAGCTAATAATTCGGATGCTCACCTTTTGTACACTGAGGAACATATCCACGACCTTGCCTCTCCGATATGCTGAGCATTTCGGCCAACACCCGATCCCGATGGCAAGCGCTAAGACCCTGAGGTATAGAGCAAACACCTCCTCCGCATTTCTCGCTCGCGCAGCATTTCTGTGGGTCAGGACACTCTAAATCATGCTGACACGAGTTCCCGCAGATTGCTGGTTCCTCTAACGGACACGTTCCCGGACGCTTCAGATTTATGCTCGAAGGACAACAGACTCCGTACTCCTGTTTCGGTTCCACGAGGCAGCTGTACATCGGTGGACACGTCGGTTTCCCGGGCGAGTCCCCGCAGAGAAATGGCCTCGGCGAATCCGTGATTTGCAACGGTTCACCGGCCGGGCATATCGTCGACAGGGATTTCGCTTTACGACAGCTGGGAATTGGCGGACACGGTGGACGAGCACACGTTACATCAATCAACTCGCATGTTTGACTGGTCCCTGGACATATGATGCCGCGGCAAGGATCCCGACACTCGCATTTAGGGCAGCCAGTTTTAGCCTCGATCTGTCAATTTGAGTGGGAAGTTGTTTGAACGATGTCGCTTTAATAGACCATTTGCAAAATTGATTTGCGCCGCCAAAAAACGGGAAAGTACCATCTTTTTCCAATTCATCCTGATCGATGGGAATTCGTGATTGCAAGCGGTGGGTAAACATGGCCTATTTTTTGAGAAATGAAAAACTCGTGGCGGGTCATTTAAGAATATCGGAACGTTTCAACATTGACTCAGCTCTCAAATGCTTCGATAAAAGTTAGACTTTCCGAAAGGACATGTCGCATTTTGGATGATAATGCAATAGGCTCTCGCAACGTGTTTGACCATGAAGTTTCAAATTCGTCATCGCAGTGACTCTTCCAGGAGTTTTTTATTACTCGACACATTTTTTAATATCCATTTTGAAAAAAAGTTCGTTTTTTAACATGGTATTATTAGATGATTCTGTCGCTTTTCACGGGCAAAGACCATTTCTGCAAACGGTAAAAGCAACGGTAACGAGATTACGGAGAGGGTCATTTGCGACATCATTCACAGCTGAGGCACGCGGCCTCGGTTGACTAATTAATCCCGGGCAAACAACAGCGTGCTTTCGATCAATTATCGCCTTTCAAGCACCGAAACATTCGCCAGCTAATGGATGGTTTAATAACCAGAAAGAGTATCCAGGTTTGAAGAATTTTAGACGCGTTTACCTCGAAGCCCAGCGGACACAACATTCGACAACTGTGAGCCGGACATTTTCGAGGATTGTCGCAATCGATCACGTCCTTGGAGGGTCCCCTGGTGCCG